GCTATTTGTTTGGCATGAATTGAGCCAAGATGTTCGAGAGAGAGAAGAAAAAGGAAAACAGAGAGCCTTTTATGCAACTTGGAATGCAGGAGCAGTCCCCGATCAACCTGACCTACTAGTGTTCATGCTTCTGCTGTGCACCTCCCAGATATAATTGATCAGGTCAAATAAATCAAAGCCGCTATTCTGTTGTCAGGAGCTGAAGTAGCAGGATGGGATTTCATATTTCCTGCCTTGGCAGTCCTTCTCATATTCCCCAAGTGAACCCTCTTGTCTTCTCACTTCATCTCACACTGCCAATCCAATTTAATAGGCAGTAATAAAATGGGATGCAGAGTAGGGGCCTTGGTGCTTTCTATTTAGGTGGGGAAAGTTCAGGTAGCGGATGCACATCTGGTCATGCAGCTGGTTCAAAATAATTGCCGGGGGGATCTTCTGAGTTACATTGGATCAGTGTTTCCTTGAATCCCATCACTAGACTTCCGTACAAGCAGGTCTTTGGTTTGAGAAATGGCTGGCGAAGAAGTCCCAGTGGTCCTTACTGACATATGTCCCACAAAATAATGAGCCAGCAAAGCTCCTTCCTTCTCTTAGAAATGCAGAAGCTTTTGTTGCAACTGTTTATAATTGTTCCCCTTCCAGTCCCTGGGCTCAACTTGACCTTCAATTACCAGGAGCTCAATTGAAGCTAGGCTTATAATAATGAATTATACAGTCCATTTTCCCCCCTCCCATAATAGTTGCACACATTTGCTCAGGAAATAAACATGACAGAATTGTCTCTTTTAATGAAATGTGGCAACCAAACTGTTGCATTTCTCCAGCGATCGTAAGTATATAGGTTGGGAATGACAGGTTTTAATTGCTACTTTCCCCATGCTTCTTTAGGCTATTTAAGGAAATGAATTATGAGATGGGGGAGAATGGGGAGATGATTGAAGATTTTATCAGTATTGTATGCTTGGAAAGGAATGTATGCATGATCCTTTGGTCTGGGATCAATTTATTGTTTTATTTATTCCGCATATGGCATAGATGTCAGGGAAATCTACAGAAATCTACAGATGCTAGGTATAATGAAGTTTGGATAGCCTAAATTGCTGTCATTCTGTTTGACACTTGCATGCTTATCCTTGGTGCACTGCAGAGGGTGAGCTATCCGGTGGTGGGTTTCAAAAATGTTTCCTACCAGTTTGGAGAGCTCGCTTCGCATGCGCATGCTCAGTGCTCAAACATTGCCCTCTGTATCAATGCTGCAAAAAATATATCAACACCTATTGCTCATACACGCCAAACGTGTATCTAACCCCAACCCTAACCCCCCCCTTTTTTTGCCGAGGCGGACAGGGCCAAACCTTTTGCGCCAAACATGTGTATCATATGCGCATGCACAGGGCTCAGAGATTGCCCTCTATCAACGATGGTGAGCTTTGCTGTTTTTAGCTCAGCTGAGGTGCGGCAATCTGCTCTGCCACGCATATGAGCTGAACTAATAAACAACAGAATATGGGAGAGTTGGAGAGATATGAGTGGGGGCAGGTGGGCGGGGCCAGTCAAAACTTTCCCTACAGGTTCTCTAAACCAGTCAAAATTTTCCCTACCAGTCCACCAGGATCAGTCAGAACTAGCTGAATACCAGCTCTGGAACTATTTTAAACTGTCTTGACTAGTGGCACTCAGGTTTCTGCCTCTTCTGGGCTTCTCCGCCAGTTTCACTTCATCTCATGTTGCATTGCTTTGTGTCCGGCCAGGTCCAACACTGGCTTCTGCTCTCTCTGCACCCATGAACATAGCTAGGAATCAATGTAGAGAAGATGGATTAAGAATGTAGAGGAAAGTCCATTTCTGATTCTCATGGAACACATTTAGATTTTGCAGTACAATGCTACTTATAAACCTACTCTGGTAGCATCCATGCTTCTCTAAAACCCACCTGAGAATTCTCTGTGGGATATTGCATGGGTATACGACTTATTTGTTAACTGGCCTATGCAAAAGAGGCTGCTGTTGATCGACTTTAGCACTTAAAGGAAAGTGCTGGAGGAGGTCACTAAAAGTTGAGTCAGAGCCAGGCCACCTCACACAACCACTTTGTTTCAAATCAGGTGGTTTCTGTTCTTCTGTGGTACGTGTGCAGAGAAACATTCAAAGTGAAGTGAAATGGCTGCTGTAAACTAACAGAATATTGCTTCAGTTTGCATCTTAAATGGTTCCAACACAACTTAGTGTATCTTTATGACTTAAGCATAAAGTCATTGGTGACTGAAAACTGAATTCCTTTCTCTGTGGAAACACAAAGAAGAAACATCAGTACTTCTGGAAATGCCCCTCTGATTATGGAAGAGTACATGATATAAGTCTTTACTGTAATCCAGGCAGCAGAATAGCAAAATTAATACTTCTGGAAAAATTTGGCAGCATAGAAATTCATCTAGCTCAGTGGTGTCAAACTCAATTTCCCTTGAGGGCCACATCAGGGTTGCATTTGACCTTGGGGGGGCAGGGTGGGTGTGACCAGGGAAATGGTTAGCTCGACATTAATCGTGTTGGGAGCACCTGGGGCGCCCTGCACGCTCTGCCAGCGAAAATGGGCTCCCGAGCTCTGTTTTTGGCTGCAACAAACCCTCTGCAAGAAAACGGAGCTTAGGAAGGCTGCCTTTCACTGCAGAGACATCGCGGGCTAGTCCTTTGCTATTTCTAGGGTGGCCTCTCAGGCCAGATCTAAGCATCCCAGATCCGGCCCCAAGCCCTTGAGTTTGATACCCCTGATCTAGCTGAATGACTGAGGAAGGAAAGGAAAATAGCAATAGTGTTGAGTGCCTTGGGTGCAATCCCTAAACATCACTTGAACACTGTCAACATTGATAAAATCACCATCAGTCAATTGCAAAAAAACAGCTTTACTCAGAACAGCTTAGATCCTGTGACAGCTTAGATCCTGTGATCCTGTGACAATTCCAGGTCCCTCCTAAGGACCTGGAATTCCTGCTTATTCCAGGTCCTTAGGAAGGATTCTGTCGATATATAAAAATGCCAGATCCAGTCCAAACATCTGGTTGATTGTGTGACTGACCCTAATCATCATCATCATAATAGGTACATTGACAAAATTTCCACCTCTCAATTAAAAAGATTACACTGCTGAGATTTGCACATGTACTATGCCTCTCCATTACAATATCCTAGGACCTAGGTCCGTGATGGCAAACCTATGGCACATGTGCTGGAAGAGGCACACAGAATCATCTCTCTGAGCCTCCAGCCATCGCCCATTGCCAGGGGTGGGATTCAATTTTCTTAACAACTGGTTCTGTGGGCGTGGCTTAGTTGGTGGGTGTGGCTTGGTGGTCATGTGACTGGCTGGGTGTGGCCAACTCAACCTCACTCACAAAGAGGCACTCATCTCGCCTGGCCTCTCATGACTGTGGGGATGCTGCAACTGTCGTAAGTGTGAAAAATAGTCATAACTCACTTTTTTCAGTGCCATTGTAACTTTGAATAATCGCTCCACACAAGCAAAGTACCAGCAAAGGAGGGGGGAAAAAACCCAGAGAAGTTCCAGAGACAGGAAGTCTAGTCCTGACAAGAAAGTAATAAGGGTTAATGTAGAGGAAGTTTCTGTAAGCAAGACCAGAATGTTTCCTTCCTGCCTTCCTCACAGGATTAGGCTAGCAATTTCTTCTAACAACCGGTTCTCCGAACTGCTTAGAATGTTAACAACCGGTTCTAGTGAATAGGTGCGAACCAGTAGAATCCCACCCCTGCCCGTTGCTCTTTCGCTGGTCTTCGAGTGCATGGAAGCGCCGGAAACCAGAAGAGCAGCTCCCCGGCACACACGTGTGCACTGGGAACCTGAGCTTCTGGTTTCCAGCATGCGCATGTGCATTGGCCATCTGGTCTTCGAAAATTGGAAGCTCAGCTCCCCGGCATGTGCATGCATACAGGGGAGCTGTTCTTCTGGTTTCTGATGTTCTGTGTGTGCACCAGGGAGCTGCTCTTCCAGTTTCTGGTACTCCCCTGCATGTGCGTATGTTCCCATTTCAACACTCGGTGCCGAAAAGGTTTGCCAACACTGACCTGGGTTCTTAGGAAGAACTTGATGCATATGAAGGCCAACATCAGATAAAGAACTGGCAGCTGTGATTTTGGTGTATGTAATAACAACACGACCTTTTATGCTCCTGTGTAATTCATTGTAGTTCTGTTTTATTATAGTTAAAATGCAAATTATAGTAGCGTTACCATCTCTAAATGTTCATTTGCATAGACAAGATAGATAAAAAACTACAGGAAAGTGCAAATTTATGAAAATATGTATCTACTTTCTTGTTGATATCTGCGGCAACCATTTTATTGGATTTTTTTTTTAAAAAAATTATTGCAGCCTACTTGACTATGCCTTGGATGCTAGTTTTCAAACCGTATTCAACACTTGGCTAAGAGAACAAGGAGATTGTATGTATAAATTATAGAGTGTATGGGCATCTGTGGGAATGGGTGCAGTATCACAATCTAAGCTCTGCCTATTTTGTATATGTATGCAACATTGACACATGTACCTAAGGATATACTTGCCTCATGTACAGGTGTTGTCTTTCTGCAGACTCCTATGCCCGGATATAAAACCCAGGCATAGATATGTCAGTATTCTCAGATGAGATCTTCTGAAAAGCCCTTGAAATTTGGCAAGATGTTGAAATATTGCAAGTTCAGGCTCATTTCTGGGTCTCGAAGATGTATCACTACCATGTTGTGATTACTGTTCCTAAAAACCTTAGTTCATGCCTAGATCTGGAAGAATCATGTGAATAATGTTAAAGATATTATTATGCCTTTCTTTGGTAGGCTGCTGTGTCACAATGGTTTTAATTAAAAAAAGTTTCTAACTTAACCAATCCATGTCCTCAATAATAATACATAATTTTCCCAATCCCGTTTTTTCTCTAGGTTTTGGATGTGTAGGAAAATTTGGGTGCAGAAATGCATGGATATATTTACAAATGGGAATCTGCATTTCTGGCAGAAGATACCTGCTGCTAAGATTGCTGACCTGCAATAAAAACCTGGTAAAATTATCAAGGTAAGAAGCGGCCCCTATCCTTTGAACAGATCCCAAGATTTCTGAAATATTTGATGATAACACAATTTAATAAAGTTCTTTGAAGTATTTGTCTCGTTCTAAAGCAGGTGTCTCCAAGCTCTTTAGCTCATTGACCCCTTCATGACGTTTCATTAACCCCCAAACATTTATTATAAGACAATAATTTAATAAATACTATTTACTGTAACTAACAGTACTATGAATCATAATAATAATAATGGGAACTGAAGCTCAGTCTCACTGCTGGCTGACCATTTAATGCTGAGCAAGACTGTCTTATTAGTAGCTACCTCACCTTCAAGATTAGGGACTGGCATTGAATTCTACAGAGGCTCCAACAGATTAATTGAGCCCAATCAACTTTCCATCCTTATTTAAAAAAAGGTGAAAGATTTATACCTCTCATCATTATCAAGGGCTTATTGACACTCAGACTTACTAATCTCCTTGGCCCTAGCCATTTATTGACCACTTTGGGGAACCTTGTTCTAAAACAGGAGTAGGCAATTATAGGCCCTTTACGACCTGTGTACTTCAACTCCCAGAATTCCTCAGCCTCCAGTCTTTAGTGGGGCCACAATTTATGTGGGTGTAGTTATAGAAGGCTAAATGAGCCTGAATATTTTGGGAGGGGGAATTTTGCAGCTTATTTTTGAATTATGCTAATGTTATTTTAGAGCTAATACTTTTTTTAAAAAAATTGCCCTCAGATTTTGGCCATCATGGTCAAAGGAGGCTGGAGAAGTGACCACTTCTGTCCATAACATTGTTGGGGTGTTCTTCCCAGAGGAGTTTGCCTGGGTCGGCTTTGCAAGAGAATGGAGAGATAGGAAGTTAGCAGGGTGGTTGGTGGGACGGGACAGAGGTCGGCCGCAGCATCTAGTGAAATCTTTCTTTAGAATATCTTTTCTAAAAGTGTAATCCAAATTGTTCAAGTTTTTTTAAAAATTATTATTAAATTTTTAAGCTGCTCATCTCTTAAATCTCAACTTTATCAAATTTTCTGAATATCATATTTAAATAGGAGGCTTCTATGTCCTGTTGTATATACTACGTGTCGTTGCATTTCCTTTGTACACTTTTTGTGCAGGATTATGGTGGGAGGAGATTTACAAATAGGTTTCTACTTGATTTTTGTTCAGTATTCCTTTAAATCAGGGTTGTCCAACCTTGGCAACTTTAAGACTTGTGGACTTCAACTCCCAGAATTCCTCAGCCAGCAAAGCTGCTTTAAATTATAAGATCTATGCATTGGAAGGAGTTTGTGAATCGTGTAGCCCAGTGTTTGTTTTTTTTTTTTCAAATTTGGCAACTTTTTCAGATATCTGGACTTCAGCTTTCAGTTGTGGACTTCAGTTTCCCAGTCAGCTTAGGGAATTCTGAGAGTTGAAGTCTGCACAATTGCCAAGTTTGAAAAACCTGATATACCGTAATCAAATTCTTAAATAACGCTGTGTATGAATGCTAGATATTAATAAATTATATTTTATGACAATAGAATCTATACTGCCTGATTATACTGTTTCACTATAAAAGCACTTTTTAATTAACAATAGCCAGGAAAAAATCTTTAATCCAGACATACAACAATTTCTAATTAATTGTTTTTCATTAATTTTTGATCTTGGCTGCAAAAGTCTAGGCAATCAATAGGTAGAAATGAAGAGATTCAAAACGTTCTAAATCTTTGCTGCTCTCTTTTCTGTGGACGCTCTCTCCCTTTCATTTTTGTTGAGAATATACAACAGGCTAGTCAAGTCCGTCCCTTTGGAATTTTGAAAATGGACTGTAGGTGTTCTCTCAAAAGTTTCCATCTGTTGTTGAGTTTTGCCAATTCCCAAAACTGCTGCCGATGGGTACAGAACACCTGTTTATCAGAATTTAGTTGAATGGGTTTGTCCGTTGTCCTGCCTTCTTGCTGATGAGAATTATTTCTAATGCCCAGATATTTTTCTTTTTTTCCTGCATCAGTGCGCATCATCCCCATCATTTTCTAAAACTGTTTTATCAATGGGAAAAAAGGCCATTTCCCCCCTCCCCCCCGAATGATGGTACAGGTGGTCCTCAACTTAAACAGTTCATTTAGTGACCGTTCAAAGTTACGACATCACTGAAAACAGTGAGTTATGACCATTTTTCACCCTTACGACCATTGCAGCATCCTCATGGCCACGTGATTTGGATGCTCGGCAACTGGTCCCTATTTATGACGGTTGCAGTGCCCCCAGATCATGCGTAACACCTTTTGCAACCTTCTGACAAGCAAAGTCAAATGGGAGAGGTAGACTCGTTTAACAACCGAGTTATAAACTTAACAACTGCAGTGATTCACTTTACTACTATGGCAAGAAAAGTCATAATGGGGCAAAACTCACTTAACAGGTGTCTCACTTAGCAGCATAAATTTTGGGTTCAATTATGGCCGTAAGCCAAGGAATACCTGCATTTTGAGGTCTTCTTGGAATAGGCTCCTCCCCAAAACCGCCTCCTTTGGATGTTATTTGGTGATGGGCTAAATGTCTTCCAAAGTCTGATAATGAACCAGGCAAAGCCTCATAGTCTCAGCCTCATAATGGAATCAGACAAAGAGCATCTCCAGAGACAGAAATTGGAAAGAAAAGATGCGTTGTTCTTCATCCCTTTCTTGTAAAGCATGACTGATTAAGAATTGACCTCAGTTTAGGTGTGAATGTGATTCTACCCCCTTAAGTATTATGTTTTTATTAATCCGTTTCATTTAATTTCCAGTCTTCATTAACTTTTCCTCTCACACCCCCTTTTTTAAATAGCTTTTGCCTTGTATTTTATACTGTTCCCAAATTATTATTCTTTCATTCTCAGCAGTTTCCTTTTTTCCCCCCCCCCCCCCCCCCCCCGCCCTTTTCTGCAGGATGAGCTTCTGTGCCAAATCAATGCTTCCATCTCAGTGGCTGTTCCTGGCATATGTGTTAATGGTGTGCTGTAAATTGTTGTCCGCAACTAGCCATCCTCCTCGGGGACCGGCAGGTAGGAGCTTTCAAACTCATTAGGCACTACCGAGACCAATTAATAACACTCTCCCAATGTTAGAGTCCACTTTTTAGTCATAGATAATTGATGAAGCTGTTTGGCTGTGATCGGAGCGAAAGAGTCTTCATCGGTTGTGATCGGAGGCGAAAGAGACGAAAAGGTTGCGAACTCACGGGTAAAGAAAGATGAATTACTTGCTAAGCCTTTGAAGCAGTTCACGGTGTTGTCTGTTTGAGACAATTTCCTGAATGAATTCATGAAACTCTGTGGATTTCAAAACGTTCGTGTTTTTCTTTTTCACGTGACTCAAACCCCGCCAAAAAAATAAATAAATCACAAAACAGAACCAAAAAGTAGAAGAAATATTCTCCCAGAATTGTGAGGAGAGGAGATATTGTTCTCTCGTTGACACTGATTACCTGAATAGGAAAAAAAATTCCTTTCCTGAACAGCTGTTACGATCTCGAGCAGTTGGCTAAAGAGATAAAAACAAGTTGCCTTATGCTGTAGCCTCCTAGAGAAATAAATCAGTTTTCAAAGGATGGAAAAGATGCCTTCAGTTAAATTTGGGTCTGAGCGCAAAGCTTTGGCAGTGGCACTGATTAACAAACCATAATGATGTTGAAGTAATGTTGAAGCGTGATGGCTCAGCGGTTAAAGATGCTGAGCGTGTCAGCTGGAGCAGGGGTGTCCAACCTTGGCAACTTTAAGACTTGTGGACTTCAACTCCCAGAATTCCTCAGCCAGCTTTGCATTGGAGACCCCTGAGCTGGAGAGCTAACAGCCCGGGTTCGAGACCCCAGTGAAAAACAGAGTCAGATACGACTGATAGGGAAAACTTTACCTTTAATAAAATGCACTGGCGGATGTCTTCATCAAATATTGCAGTTATATACAGCACTGTATCACGACTTCAGATGCAAGTTGCAGAATGCAATCATCATAATATATGCATTGGCATCACCCCTCCCTGTCCCCTGTCCAAAGAAGCCCATTGGCTTTGAATGGATCATAACAGCAGATTTACAACGTCAACACACTTAAGGACTTAGCCCTGAATTGCCTGTATAATGTTGAACATAGGAGGCAATATTATCCCTACAAGACCTTCCCCATGGGATAAATACATTGCTTTGAGAAACATGTCTCTGTGCTATAAACCTAAGGTTATTTGGATGAAAGCTAAGGAGTTTGCCTGGGCAGTTTTGGACTTTTGAACCACAGCTCATGCTCTTTTCTGCCAGCTAGGAAAAATTGATTTCGGTTAATCGGTGAAAGCACTGCGCATTCATCACGCAAGCTAGCATTACTGATCTTTGCCATAATGGCAGGAGTTTTGTGGGGAAAAAAATGAAATCACTTTCCACAATACTGTACAGGAAGAAAGGAGGTTGTGAAATAGGTTGTGCCATTGGTTCTCAACCTGTGGTCTGTAGACCTCTGGGGCATCCACAATGTCCGTGAAGGCTTGAAGAAATGCTATGATTTAAATCTTGAGTTAAGTCTTGGTGGTCTGTGACTATGGTGCATAGCCACAAAAGATATTTAAAGGAAGGATATTCTCTGGGTTACAAACAGGCAGCTGAGGTGCTCCATATGGCTCATGCCCATCGTATTTAATGATGTGGTTTTGAGGGATATAGTAGCTATTTGCAATTGTGTGACAGTACCACTTTGAAACTTTCTAAATAGCAGGAGACACATGTTTAAAGGCAAGTAAAATAAAAAAATACACATATAAATTGAGTGAAACCAAGCTTAAAAGCAGTAACTGTGAGAGGGATCTTGGAGTCTTAGTAGACAATCAATTAAATATGAACCAACAGTGTGGGGCAGCCATAAAAATCCAATGCAATCCTAAGTTGCATTAACAGAGGGATACAATCAAGATCAAGTGGGGTATTAATACCACTCTATAAAGCCTTAGTAAGACCACACCTAGAGTACTGCATCCAGTTTTGGTCACCACACTACAAAAAAGATGTTGAGACTCTAGAAAGAGTACAGAGAACCGCAACCAAGATGATTAGAGGACTGGAAGATAACGCATATGAAGAATGGTTATAGGAACTAGGCATGGCTGACTAGTCTAGTGAAGAGAAGGGCCAGGAGATACATGATAGCAATCTTTCAATATTTGCCACAGAGAGGAAGGGGTCAAGCTATTTTCCAAAGCACCTGAAGGCCAGACAAGGAATAATAGATGGAAAGAGAGATGCAGCCTAGAAATAAGGAGAAATTTTCTGACAGAACAATCATCCAATGGAACAGCTTGCCTTCACAAGTTGTGGGAGCTTCATCACTGGAAACTTTCAAGAAAAGACTGGGCTGGCATTTATAAATGTCTCCTGCTTAAGCAGGGGGTTGGACTAGATGACCTATAAGGTCCCTTACAACTCTGTTATCCTATTCTATTATTAAGTGGAAAGCAAAGCTTAAAGCGGAGAAGGCCAATGTAGAAACATATCCTAGCATTCTGTTTGAAGATAGCATTTTGCTTAATGGTATGAGCCATGGAAATACAACTGTGCACAAGCCACTTAAACCAGCCACTATTCCTCTAAAAAAACCATCACACAAACAAAAGAGTGATACATTTAGCAATTCCTGTAGTTGCATGACTTCTCCAACCCCATATTAGTTGGGGTTTTGGTGAGGGTCACTTTCTATCCATAAATCAGGTTAAAATTACAGAGTACTTCTGCAAATAAAAAGAATTCCTGAAAGGGGTAGGAGAAAATCCATGCTTTTTTGGAATGAATAACAATTTAATAGAGCTGCGATTTTCATAAAAATGTATCTGTTGCAGTGAGAACAGTACTTGATATCCTCATTGTTTTGAAAAACAAGGGAAGGACGCCTATCTGATGTTGGATGCTATGTGTTTGGGATGTAGGGAATCTTGTAGCTTCTGTGGGGATAAAAATCCGTGAATTTGTGAAGCAAATTAAGCTAAGTAAATTCAGCTTATTTAAATATTTTCAAGGTGCTGAAATGATGTGTGTCTGTGGGAAGGACAGGATAATTTACAATTAATCCAGCTTTAGTGTCAGAATTAGAATTCTAATTAGAATTAGAATTATCCAGCTTTCCTGGATAGCATACTGCTCTTATTTCATTTCATCGTAGCTGGATGCAATTGCAACATTAAGATGAAATTTTAGTAAATTATAATTTTAGAAATGCCTACTTTCCTACTATTATATATTATCCCTATTAAATCGCAATGCCTATGACATTATTATGGTTCTGTGTTAAAGTTCTAATTAACACTATCTGCCTTTTAAGAAATCTGTGATTGCTGGCAATCCTTGACTTCATTTACCTAGTCCCACATCTAACAATTCAATGTGCAGAGATCTGTGTGCTCTTCTCACAAGACGTGTTTAACATATGAATGTCTGAAAGTGCAGTGCAGGTAGTCCTCAACTTACAGCCATTTGTTTAGTGACTGTTTGAAGTTACAACAGCTCTGGCTTCTGACTATTTTATCACACTGTTGCAATATCCCCAAAGTCATGTGATCAAAATTTGAACGCTTGGCAACTGGCATGTATTTATGGCGGGTGCAGTGTCCCGGGGTCATATGATCACCTTTTGCGACCTTCTGACAAGCACAGGCAATGGCGGAAGCCAGATTCACTTAACAACAGTATCACTAACTTAACAACTGCAGCGATTCCCTTAATAACGGTGGCAAGAAAGGTTGCAAAACAGGGCAAAACTCACTTAACTGTCTTGCTTAGCCACAGAAATTTTGAGCTCAACTGAGGTGTCAGATCAAGGACTACCAAAGTGTACCAAAGTTGTCCTTGAGCAGGGGTGTCAAACTTGCAGCCTGCGGGCTGGATGTGTCATGCGCTGGCCACGCCCATCCCCATTTTAGCAAAGGGAAAAAATGTTATATGTCACATGACGACAATATGTCATTGCGAGTTTGATACCCCTGTCCTTGAGGGTGAAATTCAGGTTCTTTTTGAAAACACCACCTACAGTTAGTGACCAAAATAAATGTGCATATTTTGAATGCATAAACATCCATCTTGTTTAGCTCATTAGCCATTAACGTCTAGACAGTGTTCCAACTATATTTTAGTTTTTATTTTTCTGGAATGCAAGAGAAGATGCAGTGGCAAAAACATGTTGACATTGGAATTTATTTCCAACCTAGGATTCAATTACACCTCTTTAAAATTCATTCACCATCCAGTCCCAAGAGAAATACCTGTGATGGGAATTTGATGCTGTGTATTGTGTGCATGAAAGATAAGTGCTCATTATAGGTGATGCAAATTCTGCAACTTTACAACTCAAGATTATGATTGTACATTTTGGTAGGATTAAGATTGACTTTTAGACTTTCCAGAATGCACCTTCTGATATTAAAGTCTTTGCAAAATGTGAACCACTTTATGTGAAAGAAAAATAGATGACCTTACGAGTAATTGCTTCTGGAAACCTCAAAGAAGATACAAGCAATATATTGTTGTCATTGCTAAGTTTTGCTTCTTCTTGGGAATTGAAGCAAACAGTTTAAATTTGAGTGGAATGGAAGATTAGTCTATCACATAGGCTAAAACGTAGCCTGCCACATTTTGGCTGAGATTCTCTCTCTACCCCTCCTCCCCCCAAATAACCTTGCTAAACTGCTTTGAGGTCACAGAATATTCCATCACATTGTAACTGCTTCAGGTTGAGATCAGTCATTAGGATGTTGATAAACCATGAAGTCTTTGTAAGGGATGTGAAGGGATTGAGAGAGATTTACTTAGAAAAGGGGGAGGGTTCCTAGGAAAACAGAGACTGGTAGATAAGAAATAAGAGTAGAGAATAAGGTCCAAGTGGAAGAGAAAATAAGGAGAGAGAAAACAGAATGGCTGAAGGAAGGGTTAATAGGCAGATAACTAAAAAAGTTGAGGGGAGGAGGCAGATAATTTAGTTAAGATCAAGAATGTAATTGACAAAAAGAAGAATTGGTTAAGAGAGTGATACATCCA